CCCTCTTATTTATGCTATTGTCAAGGACAAAAACATTTTGGTTAAGGATGTTATGGTTCTTGACAGTCCGGGCCTTTGGCAGGCATCTGTTTCCAGAAACTTACAAGATTGGGAGTTAGAGAAATATTTATCTTTGTCACAAGAGAAATATTTATCTTTGTCACAAACTTTGTCTTCTACTCAAGTTTATGACAAGGAGGACAATCTAAAATGGCTACTCTCTAAAAATGGTACTGTTACTATCAGATCTCTCTACAACCTTTTGGCGGGGAATCTTAATTAGAACATTAGCTTTCCCTCCAAATTAATATGGAAATTGGGTGCAACTCCAAGAATTTCGTTTTTTACTTGGGAAGCCGTAAAAAGTCGCATTCGTACCCTTGATAACTTAATGAAAAGAGGTTTTATGATTGCAAATAGATGTTTCCTTTGTAAAAACAATTTTGAAACCTGCAATCACCTGCTTTTAGGCTGTTCGGTTTCACAGCACCTATGGAACACTATTATTATCTTATGGGACTATCTTGGGTCATGAACAACAACATTTATGCAGAACTCCTAGCATGGGAAGGCATCAGCAGCAAGAAGAAAATGTTAAGATTAATCCCACTCACCATTATGTGGGTCCTTTGGAAGGGAAAAAACAATTGTGCTTTTGAAGAAATAGAACAAGATTTTAACAAAATCATTGATTGTTGGTTTCACTATTTTGGTTCCATTATTTTGGGATATAATATCGATTGTTTCGATGATCTTGGGTTTGTTATCAATAGTTTAATCTATTTGTAAATACATTTTAAATGGGTTGTGTCCCCTTAGCACTCTTACATCAATACGATTCTGTGCTTTTATTTCAAAAAAAAAATATCAAATTACCTACTAGGGATTCTCAAGGTCATATTATAATTTGAGCCTGAGCAAATATTATATAAGAGAAGCATAATTTGCATAGATAAGACTGTTGAACAAGCCTTAGCCCAGTGGAAGAATATGGGACCAGAAGAGACAACATGCAAGGACTGGGAATTTCTGAAAGGTCAGTTTCCACATTTGAACTTAGAGGACAAGGTTATTGGGAAGGGAGAGTTGTCAAGAACCGAGCCTTGCACAGGTGAAATTGTAATGTTTACCATTATATGCATTATGTAATTTTTTCCCTTTTGCTAGTTTCGGTTAGAAATAACTGTTTTTGAAATTATTAGATAGGACAGACTAGAATACCAGCTGTCAATATACTCCTGACCGTACCATGCTGGTACTAGTATAAATATTGTACCCAATGATGGAATGAGTATATCAGAAAAATCTAGAAAACTTTATTTTTTTCCCCTCTATTCTTCTATTCTCTCTTCTTTTCACCCTACCTTCTACTTTCTGCTAAACAATAGCTACAGAGGGCCTCTTTTAGCCACCTCATGAGTCATGGTCTGACAAATTCTCGATGTATTGAGCAGGATATTGTTTAAGGTGGCGGATAGGGACATGGTGAGAGGCATAGGGGCAAGGAAAGAAAGGGTAGACGTTTCACATTTACAATTTGCTAATAATACAATCTTGCTCCTAT